CAGAGATTTGTTCGATTGTTTCGTCGTATTTAGCACCGTTTGGGCTCCATTTCAACCAATAGAGATTTGGCCTTAAATGTTGATATTTTTATATATATTTTGATTGTTTGAACATTCATTCTAAGTTGTCTTCATTATCTGAGATCATAATTGCTTCATCTGCATAACAAAGGATTTTTATTTTTCTGCTCAATTTATATCTGTTTTCTGCGTTTTTACTTTCTTATACAGTGGCTCGAATTAATTCGGCACCATATGAGATTCCTTTTTTAAATTTTATGAAAAAGTTTTGAATGATCCATTTTTTTTAAACCTAGAATACAATCATAAAATATTGTTTTTGTGGATCTTGTTAACTCTTACATAAAATTCATATTGTTTGACAAACTGGCTATATGACTGAAAAAATTTAATATCTGATGATTGTATTCTAGATTTTAGATTATTCAAAACTTTTTATAAAGAATAACTTTTTCTCATAAAACTAAAAATAAAAAAGTTTTCCATAAGTGCGGACTTAATTGGACAACCTGTATGATTTTGTCCATTACTAGGTTTATCCTATTTCTATTGTCGGATTCCTGAGTTAATATCTGATTTCGATGTTAGTTCATTCTCTACTTAAAATTTAGGTTGTTTTTTTTTGTTAATGTATTTGATTATCTGTACCATTCTGATGGGCTGAATTTTCTTCGTTTAGTCATTTTAACACATCTATTTTACCTTAACTTCCATTCCAAGGCTTTCGTAAGAATTTGTTTGGCTATGAATGTAGCTTCTATTATTGAAAATCTAGTTGCTCTTCACTGATCATTTATCTTATTGGCGAATATCCTTGTTAGCAGTTTAATAGTTGTGCTGAGCAAGGTGATTGTAGTTTAGTTGATAACATTGCCTTTGTTTAGTATTGGGTGCAATTAGAGAAATGAAGGCATTGCCAATTTGAAAGTACGTAAGAAATATGTATTAGTAAGAAAATTATATTCAAAAGTGAAATGTTTTTTATCTAAAATCACTTCTAGTACTTTTTTACAAGACTAAATAGTTATCAGTTTTTGACAGTAACTATAGTTTCATATTTTTTCTTGGCGTATAAATTTCCGATCAAAGAACAGTAATTTTCAAGCCTGTTACAGTTTTAATTTTTGTAGTCCAGGTTGTGAGGATGCTCCCATAGGAAAAATGTTTTTGATTCAGTTTCTTTGCGGATTCCTATTCAAAAAGACTGGGCTTGAAGATTAATATAGACAAGACGAAGGTAATGGTGGTTAGTAGAATACGAAATATGCAACTAAATATAAGAGTAAACAATAAGAACATCCAAAAGGCCCCCAAGTTCAGATATCTCGTTAGTTGGATAACTGAAGATCTAGATCCAGGCATAGAGGTACGTAGCAGGATTGATCAAGCCAGAACAGCATTTACTAATATGAGAATCTTGCTAAGCAACAGCAGCCTTAACTTAACGCTTCGATATCGCTTTGTAAAATGTTACATTTACTCCATACTGCTGGTGTAGAAACCTGGACCATAAAGACCAATGTGATGAACCGATTAGAGGCCTTTAAAATATGGGTATTGAGAAGACTACTTAAGATTCCCTGGACTGATCATACAACAAATGTCGAAGTATTAAATAGAATGGGCAGAGAACGAGAATTGCTGCCAGTAATACAAAGAAAAAAAACTGATTATCTGGGTCATATATTTCGAAATTCCAAGTACCATTTCTTAAAGCTTATTATGGAAGGGAAGATAGAAGGGAAACGGGGCATCGGAAGAAAAAAATACTCATGGCTTAAAAATATAAGGGATTTGACAAACCTGGATGCTCATGCACTCTTTAGAGCCACACAAGATCGAGAGGAGTATGCCAAAATTGTTGCCAACATCCATTAATTGGATAGGGCACCATAAGAAGAAGAATTCAAAAAGACCCCTTTTAAACAAATCAGAAGGCTGCCAGGCGAAATTTCAGGCAGACATTGTTTAAACAATTTTCTGTAAAACAATACATATAATAGGTACTTACGCAAAAATTCCCAAAACTATATTTATTAAATTAATTATTTCCAATGTGCTAATTAAATATCATCACACTAATTTTTTTTCCCATTTTTCAGATTTTAAATCGCTTATATAACTCGAAAACTATCAACTTCGGATACCAATGATAACAGATCCTTTTTGTTTAAAATGACCCAAAAGTCCCCAAAAAATGTTTTCCGGGTCAAAAAAGGTAATTTTTAGAATTTGTTTAAACAATTTCTGTCCAAAAATTTCGTCTGGCACCCTTATTTGTTTAAATGAACAGGAACAGGATTCCTGAACTGGAATCAGCAAAGAAACCGAATCAGAAACATTTTTTCCATGGGAGCGGCCTCACAACTTGGACTAAAGAAAACAATGGGAGATATAGAAAATTTTGTGTCCAAAAATATTAGTGAATATATCATAATTTAAATCCAAACATGTAAAATCACATAATCGAGATAACGGCATTCAATAAATTCAAAATTCCATGAAAATAATGCCAAATTTAAAATTAATTATAAAAGTCGTTATCCGATAGTATTAACGAAGTAGACGTTAAGTCTGATATTTTACCTGATATATCCAGTCCGGAGGGAAGCAGGCTATGGGTTATAGCTAAATAGGAGTAAGCCAAGAATCCTGATATTAGACAGAGCACAGAAAAATCTTCAACATATCAAAGAGATTGATACGATGGAAAAACTGATAACGAAGGGCGGAATTGAAGGAAAAAGTATCTAGGGTTACACTAAGCCGAACAACTAGCCATGGATGGAAGAGAATTGTTAAAAAATTATAAAAATTTGATGGTATCACCACATTCCTATATGGGATTATAACTAAGGAGAGAATCCAGCCCGATATCATTCTCACCACGTCATTCTATAAGTCCTTAATCTGACATCTAGAATATACCACTAATGACATATTCATATAATTTAACGTCTTTAAACGAGGTAGTCTAGATATGATACTGGACATTATGATCGCCCAAATTCGGCAGTTGTCCCGAAAAGTCCACAAAATTATTTTGGTCGATCGTAAATTGAAGTTTCGTGAGATCCATAGAGGGTTTTGAATATATATTAGAAGGCGGTGTATTCATTTGCATATACAGTTTTTAATGAGAAGACAGTGGCGTTCATTGCTCATCGGTTAAGATACTGACATATCAAACCGAAAACAGACAATTTTTTTTTTCTTGGCTTGGACAATTGTCATTCAGCCAGGAAAACAGACAAGATTCGATGCAATTGGCGCTAGAACCTGTTCGAAAGGATCTCCGGGGAAAATGCCATAAGATATTATTATTATTAGAAGACTGTGTTCTCATTCTCTTTATACAGAGTATCAGAATGACTGAGGTTCCTCGGATATCAATTAATTGGTTGAAACTTTCCTTAAAAATATCTAATATTTTGAACAGAGTTTCTAAATTATCTATGAATATGAATCTCTTACTTGTAGCCACAATATACCTTCTTGTACTTAATATTTTTATATTTTCACTTAACATGCTAGATATATTCAGAACACAATATTTGAGGTACTTTGTGATAGTGAGAGAATATCTCTCTTTAATGACGTCAAATAATTGTAAATGCATGTGAAAGTATCGATGCAAGCTCTTATTATGCACAAATTGGACCTAAATCAAGCCATTACACTTTTGTTTATTATATTAAATGTACTCAGTTGTTGCTAACGATATCTCGAAGATTGAAACGTATAATACTCTTGAAAATTGAATAAAAGACCTGCATTCTTATCTATAAGTAATACATATTAGGTACGGCTATTATAAAGATATGTCGTCAATAAAATTTTCTATTGGCTTCCTACATAAATAATATTCTTCTTTTAATTTGGCTTTCGATAAATTGGAAAAACTTCTACACAAATATCCCAAACGTGCTGTATCTTTTCATTCAAGACTACCTTTATGGTTAAAAATGATATTTTTCTTTGGATCTTCGAAAGTTCCATGCAAAATGTTCTTCCAGATGTCAATAAATTGTTTTCTTTCAGACTAGAACCAATTAGTTCTATTTTTTCTTTGTCGAATCCAATCTAAATGTTTTCTTTTTTTTTTAGACAATTTCCTAAGATCCCCGACAACTTAAAATACCTTGTGTGGAGCACGATGTTTTCCTGTTTACCGAATTATTACACTTAAGTATGCAAATATGTTTTACAAAGTTAGTAATATTTCTTTCATATTTTTTACTTCAATCATAGCCAGAATAAGGAGGACTGTCTAAAACATATCTATTCAACTATGACAAAACTTGTCATGTTTCATGCCAATTCGCTCAGTCACATTCAGAACACCTTTTCAACTGGATGTTTTTTGCTAACAATAACATCGACATCGAATTTTAATTAACACCATGTTAGACAATGATCACTATAGTCTATTCTATCAATTTGAAAATATTTGGATTATCGATAGAAACCAGACCATGCTACATAAAAATAAGAAAGTAAATTTAACGAAAGAAAATATAAAATGACGTAGGTATTCCGAATTTCAAGTCAGGCACAAGTAAGAAAATATTTACAGTAAATCGTTTTAACATCTTTCTTTGTTAACAATAAATAATTAATTTTGCTATCAAATTCATTTTTGTAAGCTTTATTTTAAATTGTACGACAAATCCTGCCATTAGTAAAAATATTCACGAAATCTCATTGATTCGTGGATTTGAACAATATTAATGAAGAGATGATTGTGAAAGAGTTGAAAAACGCGATACGTCACTCCGGGTGTGACGGAGGAGGGGTACTCGATTCATTTTATTTTATTTTAATTTTATATTATTTTAATTTAATTTAAGTTTTTTATTTATTTTTAATAAACGACAATTTCACTTATTTTTGCACGTCCAATATATCTTCGAGGTATCGGTTACTGAGTAAAAACATGCATTGGTCCGTTGGTGAGTCTGGTTCTTGTATGTGTGCAGGGTGAGGGTGGAGCGTGCTCAAACTGCGGAGTCATCTGCACAGTAACGCAGGTTACTGCGAAAGGAAACCTATGTAACTCTTGCTTCCAGCACTGGAGGTATGTATCGTTACACGGCAGGAAAGCCGTTATTATCTATTTTCTTCCTAGTTAACAAAAACCTTAAAAAAAAGCACGACAAAGTTAATAAAAATTGTTAAAATTAAACACAAAGAAAACTATCATATGGGAATTTTCAATTGTAACATTGATTTTAGATTTGTCTAATTTTGAAGATTTTCGTTTTGCTCTTCTTAAAAAGATTGAATGTTTATTCTTCAATTCTGAAATCAGTAAGTCTATGGTTTGGATCTAAAGAGGTGAATAATTCTCGATATTGTTGATTTCCATTGTTGTATATAGGCCAATTTGGCCACATATAGAGTAAAATATGTTCCTTTATACCAGAGCCAATACAGATATAAGATATACAATCTTTATTTTGCTATTTTGTCTATCAACATGATAACAACGATTTTCAGAAGAAATCGAATTTAAAAGGGGAATCAGGCAGGGCTGTGTGTTGTCACCACCTCTCTTCAATTCACACTCTTGTACTTGAAATGTTGAGGACTCTTACGAGAGAAACTGCTAGAGTAAAAGTCAATGAAACACCAATTAACGAAATTAAATATGCTAATGATACTGTTATTTTGGCAAAAGGCCTTGAAGATTTGCAGAGACTGTTGAGATCTGAAGTTGAATATAAGAGTTAGTTGATAAGGTGATATGTTTTTTGGACACTCCGAACCGAACGCAGCGACAATTAAGAAACTGGAAGCATTTTAATTGTGGGTATACAGGAGAACCTAGTACAAACTATAAAACAAACAATGGTGTGATGAGAATAATGAATCAGAGTACAGAAAGAATAGATACCATCAAATTCAGAAAGCTGCAGTACCTGGGACATGTTATGCGCGGCGAAAGGTATTACGGGCTTCAATTAGGGTATGTGGCAAAATAAACAGTACTGCAATCAATATTGAAATGTTTATTACTATTTATACATTTAGTGTACATGGTATAACCTAGCAAACATTCACGACGAGGTTCCTGCTAAAACAGATGTTCAAGATGCCATCCGTTCAGTTTCAAGCATTTTTCGTAACGTTCGTGAAAGTTTTCATTTATGTCTGTGAACGAATTTTAGTCCACAATTCCGGAATGTCAGATGGTGGATCGGTACGAAAAATAGCCTCTTTCAACATTCTCCATATATACGCATCAGGTGGCGTTAGTTCTGGTATCTGGTGGTGTAAGGCTATCCCCAAAATGATTGCGCAGTATTCGAAGAGACTTCCTGTCCTTGTGACAGGTTGATTGCCCTGCTGAAAGCATTGTTGATTCAGTTGTAGGTTCCTGCAAAACACGCCCGTGATTCGTATTGGTTGTGACTGTAACTGGGCGACCTACGTGAACTGTACGTTGGCAAATCATATTTCCCGTACTACGAAACTTGTCAACAACTGCTAACATAACGCTGTTACTCGGAGGCTGTTTCATAAACTTACCTACATGCTTCGGTAACTGATTTTAAGCTTGGACTGTTTCGCGACCTTTTCCGTATGACCGAAAATAGTAGTCCATGATAAAAAATTTTTCTGCAATATTGAGAACCATCCTGAAGCACCTAACATTAAAACGACATTCACATACGTTATAACGACGTTCGGAAACCACTCATTACGTTTCGGTGCGAGACATACAAATTTGACGCAAAACACATTTCAGTACTGTTTATATTGCCGCATACCGTAGTTATGCAATAAAAAATCCAGGCAAAGAGAAGTGTGCAGAGAAGAATCTTATGGCTACACAACTTACGGAAATGGTATAAGTACTCATTTATATCGATTTTTTCAGGGCAGCCGCATCTAAGATAAGAATATCCATGTTAGTTGCTAACCTGCGCAAAAATATTCTCCTCTTCTTAAAGGTTTGTTTGTCTTATAGTGATGTGGAAATCATGGTAATAGTAATAAACCGTTGTAAGTCAATAGAGCATATCAGTAAAGTAAAAGTAGAAGATGCTGTTTGTTTAATTGAGAATGGACTGTACGAACGTTCGACTGCAACCCTTCTATTATTCAGCGTTGGTAAAATCGCTATAGAAAGAGATGTTTGTGTAAAAGACTCGTCCGACAAGGTTGCAAAAGTAATACGCTCAAAATTGAGATGTTTTGTTATGTATCTTCATTACAACTCACGTGCTAGATGTTTCCTATGAAACTGTTAGTAATCGATTTAAAAAGCTTGAAATACAAACCTATATCGTTAAGTTTTAAATTTATTAGACTAATATTTAATAAATTATTACAAATTATCCAGCTAGAAGAGGCATGAATCGAAGCAAGGGAAACTAGAAACATTTGAAGGATCATATGAAGCATTCTGACGAGATGTCATGACGTTATTCGTCGTTGTGGAGAAGCCGTGGAAGTCATTTGGAAGATTAAAGACTAAGAAATTCGATTTAAATTTAAATATAAGAAGCCCTTAATTAAAGACCCCTTAGCTTCGCTTTCGTAGAAGACATCTTTTAATAAGAGTATCAGAAATATACAACTTTATTCCATTTCCTATTTTTATTTCACAAGTAACTGAATTTATTGTTCCTATGATCTTTCGAGCAGAATTTGTAAGTGACCAGATAAATCCATCGTATCTTGTGTCGTTTGTCTCTCTGTACTGAAGAACGATCATGAAATTTGGTACGCAAATTTTTCTTGGTCCAAGGAACAACTCCATTGAACTTAGGATCAGCAGGTCAAAGGTCACCAAAGATATCTTCTCCGGATGGAGAAGATGTAGAATCTTAAAACTATTTATATAGTTCCTTTAGAACATAAGTAGACGGTGTGTCAAATTTGGGATAAAAGAATTTACGCAGGATTTACAAAAATACACGTCCGATATCGTCGAATATTATTAGATGTGTAAATTGTTACTATTCTGCGGGTCAAAACTAGTTGGTTCGATTAATTTACTTTTGGGTCCATCGATTGCTCTATTGTGTCAGTTTATTCTAGATGTATTCATGTGTTCCTACTCCTAACGTTGTGGATTTATGCGTCCAAGTAGTTATAATTTTCGCAGATGTTTAGTAGGTCTCTGTTGTTTATTTCTAAATTTATACTTTGGTCCACTACGCATATATTTTCCGTTCCAGCAGCACTAACAATGGACACAAATAAGGTGTTAACAAAACCATTAATAGACAGTCCAACGAACGAATCTATTCTGTAATAGAAATCCCTCTAACGACGTCTGTGTCCGAAACCCGAAGTCAACAAGTGCGTTAGTCAATAGCAATTCATAATTAATTCTTACAAAAGTGCCCCTAATTCAGCAAATTAAAAATGAAATGAGTCATACGCGTGATCACTTAAGTTTATCGTGTCGTTTAGCTGTCCCTATGACTTTTATTAACAAGCGTGTCAGTAGTGGAGAATTTATTTTTATTTAGTGTATGGCATACAATAAGAACACATTTAAATTCTAGTATATCAATATAATCTAAAACATTTTTGATCGCATTCAGGAATTCAATCTTTTTAATTTTTCTTGCTGTTCTGTCAATATATTACCCTCCTGCTTTTGTTCAGTTTCTGGTAAAATTTTCTTGTCTCTGTTAGCTTATAAAGCTAACATAATTAAGCCAAGTAATTTAAATGTATGTATAAATGTGCGTTTGATTTACTATGTTATGAATGTCGTGATCCTACAGTGGGATTTTAAGCAATAAACTATTATTTTTATTATTATAAACAGAAATGACTGTTACAATGTAAAGTGACCAGCAAGGAAACACATTTTCCTACGCACCGACAATGATCTAATTCAAAATTTCCGAGAATTCATGATTGACACGTGATTTCGGGTATTTTCGACCAGTGATTCTTGACGCGTGATTTTGGATGACTAATTTCATTTTTTGTTTGCTAGACTATAGTTTTAGCTATCTGTTGGTGGTTTGTGCGACGTTCCAACTATAGAGATCTAATCCTTACTTGAAGTAGAAGCATTTTTAAAAGATCAATACTTCTTTTACTAATTTTCAATGATTGTAAGGTTCCCATATGGTATGTATTATCTTTCACACTACTTTTTTTTTGTACAGACAATTTATTTTAAATGAAAGGCTTATTGTATTTTTTTTCCAATTTATTAATTTTGTGTGCTATTTTTACCTATCACGTAGATAAATATCAAAACACTTTATTACATCGATATTTTAACGAGTTTTACATTTTTAATTTAATATTACATCACAAGAAAGATACAGAAGGTCCCATTAAAATCAGATTTAATTAAAATTTTGACCAAAAAAAAGCATTTTAAACGGACGTTGATGAATGTGGAATATGGGAAGTCCCAAGTTATGGTAATTCAACGTATAGATCATAATCAGCTAAATGTCAGATTTTCTGTCAAAATTATTATTAAAGATTTTTTAGTTTTTCACTAAAAACTTCACTATAAACGCCCGCTACATCTTAATTAATACGATGATAAGAATTTTAATTGCGTGGAATATTTTCATGCATTAGTTACGTTAAAAATGTTTTAAAATGTGTTTCCATTATCATCATTACTACTATAACCTTCCACCTAAGTATTTAGGGGTTCGTCTGAGATGGTACTTTTCGTACTTGATAAGTTTGGCCTTATAGAGCTCAAAGTTGGACGACCTTCTCCAGATTTCGCAGTTTTCGCAGGTTGCGCCAAGTATTATTTTTAATCAAGTATGTTTTCGATTCGCTGGTCTTATATTGTTAGTTTCGTTGTTTGTTTAAGTTTCTGAAATGTATGTATAGTATCCATTAATAATTGCTTTATCCTTTCATAGATAGTCAATCAAAACCAACCAACAAAGATTTTTGCAATCACAACCAATGTTCGCAACCTTTCTAAACGACGTCTTCACGCCGCTCATCAATCCCCTCAAGTTTAAACTTTGCTGCTGCTCATTTTTTACTGTTGACGAGTTTAGATGAATTTCAATTGACGAAGATGTAGAATCACAAAAAAGTAAGAATAATACCTTGGTACGTCAGTAGTGTGCCATAGTTTTATATTTATATATTGATACTTCTAGTTACTGTTAAATGGGACATTCTGTATTTTTTCTGTCACTAGCAGTAAAAGTCTTGATTTATTTGTTGAAAAATGTAAAACACTCGACGAAATTAAACAGAAATTGATCACTCCCATTGGTTATATTATGTAGACGAACCGGTCTGTTGAGGCCCACGTCAGGGCCGACGGGTGGTAAGCGCGGCCCCTCGCTGGGGGCGCGCCATAAGCGAAAGCCCCCACGCGGCATGTTCATCAACCACGACGACCTCGCTGCGATGGCGTCAGGTAATACTGGCGTCGTGATGCTTAAAGCCATGGACCGAGAACTCGATTCCCTCCAGAGACAAGTAAGTTGTTCTTGTTGTTGTAGATGTTTACTCTTTTTTTTATTTATTTATTATCTAATGTCGAACGAATGTTATGAAAAAGTTTTCTGAAAATTGATCGTTCAGTTACATATTTTTGAATACAGTTGAACTTCAAAATTTAGTACAGTGCTACAATATCTAATAACTGTACAATATAGATCCTCTTGTTTTGTTTTATATTCCACAATCTAACATTGCATTTAGACTAGACTGAATCGTTCCAGCAGTCTTGGCCTTTTCGCACTTTGACCTGAAGAGATCTATTGTTATTGTTAAGGTGTGGATTTGGAAAATAAATAGTCGTACTTTACTACTATTATAAAAGGCTTTATTTCCTATAACATACATACTAATTAAACTAACCTAACTTAAGCCACCATACTTCTTACTACTACCTACAACTACATGATACTCATTGACATTACTATTATTGTCTGTCATGTCAACCCATGACACTATGGGTGCGTTCCGCTTACTCTTACACCAATATATCTGTGTATACAATATAAATGTATTACATTCTCAACACGCCTCCTTACATTTACATTGTATTTACATTAATTCAAATTTAACATACTTCGAAATTTTTCAAATTTATCTTGGCCCAAGGACTTCGTAAAAATATCTGCAATATTATCATCAGAATCTACTTTAACCACATTTATAACATTTGCTTTAACATAATCATTTACATAATGATAATGAATTTCAACATGCTTAGAATTTTTTTGTAAAATTGCCATAATTTATTTATAAATCCTATAAAAGGTATATAATTAAAACACCCAATCGGCCTACCTCACAAAACGTTTTCGGAATCTATATTCCATCATAAGTGTGTCTAGGTGTACATGTTTTGAGCCACTAAATATTTGAGTAAAAAATCCGTTAAATGTTTTTACCCAATTTAGTGGTTCAAAACATGTACACCTAGACACACTGATGATGGAATATAGAATCCGAAAACGTTTTGTGATATAACCCGATTTTAATTGTATACCTTTTATAAATGATTTTAAATAAATTTTTTGTGATACATGGTATACAGCCAACTACAGGAACTTAGTTTCCTTGTGAAGATCTATTGTTGTTATCTCCAAATATGAGTGAAATAACAGTAAAGAAATGGCAAACAGACATTTATATAAAAATATCTCGTACTGAAGATAATCTCTTTCGTTTGAGAAAAATGAATAATTTTGGAATCGAATCTCTAATTTATGATCTCTATGACGATCATACTCTAATCTAAATTTAGAAAAAAAAATGGATTGTCCGTAGATTTGATTTTGAATGATTCGATTAATTGGAAGTATATCAGAATTCTGTTTGATTTGGAAGAATAAATTTAGATTTTTTGTTTGTTTACTACAATTTTCAGAAAATTTCTGTATTTTATTTATTTATGCTAATTATTCATCAAAAACTTACAATTATTAAGAGCTTTATAAATCAGTTGTGTTACAGAATTCTAGTGCTCGATAATATCCATATTAAACCATATTATGAGTGTGGCATAATGAAAATTCTTGATTTTTTATTTATTTATTATGTCTATTTTGAGACCATTTTTATGAATGCTAGTTTGATATGTCCCTGGATATAGGAATCTCTCGATGCACTCTCCCGGCATCTAAGTTTAAATTCTATATTGTGGTAGAAATCAGGCTTAAATTGAGAGTTCTCGATTTTTTAATTCTTTACAAATATACCTCTATAGAATAGGCACTTAAAATTGCTATCTACAACCAGTCTCTTTAGCGAGTCTACATAAACTCTGCATTAAAAAGATTTGAAATGAAAATCTAAAATACTTGATGCATCAACCGCTATTTTTGTTATAATTACTATTGTAAAGTTTTATCAATGCAGTTTTAGAAAAAACTATGTTGGATAAAACTATACAAGGTATTCTAAAAAGAATAGTGTAAAAAATACCAATATTCTATTGGTTCGAAGTAAAAACACGTTGTAACTCTATTTTGCTTTAAAAAACAAAAATAAATGTGAGCAAATTTGGAGCTCTTGATTATCCGAAGGCACAATATTCTTATAATCTTGACTACAAACCTTCTTCTGTATCACCAAGCTTTTGTTTTCTCTTAAAAATTATTTAAATAGTCTAAATGCCTTCTCTATTGTTTCAGATCCAACAAAACAAGCAAACTATCAGTTCCTTAAAACGCAAACATTCCGACTCAATCGAAGATCTTCGCCCCAGCAACGAGAATAACTCCAGATTCAACGCGCGCTGGACGAACGAAGAGCTTCTATTGGCCGTCCAAGGCGTCAGGAAATATGGCAGAGACTTTAAAAGCATCGCAGATGTCATCGGCAACAAGACCGAACACCATGTACGCACCTTCTTTATCAACTACCGCAAGCGGTACAACTTGGACAGCATCCTAAAGGATTGGGAAAAGGAACACGGGCCTTTGCCTGAGGAAATATCAGATCTAAAGAGTGAGAACGATGATAACGACAATGACGTCATCTGCATATCGCCCACACCCACGCCTACGGCGACGAAGAAAGAGATCAAGAACGGGAAGGTGTCTCAAGTAGCCAAATGATGATTTTGCGTTTGTATATGAGCTTTTTTATTTATGCTATACGAATTAATTTGTAGACGCACCTAAATGATATAGAGGTGGACAGAGAGATCCAAAATGATAAAAAATAAGGTATATAAAATTAAATCTTTCCTGTCGGTGATATACTATACCGTTCGAATTAATTGGCACAAATAATTTTTTTTTTATTATTTAAAAGTAGACTTTTTGCTATCTTTGTTCCTTTTGTAGTGCAATTCATCGTAGCTAAACGATTCTTGAGAATATTCCATAATTTCTGAAGGAGATTTCGGTCTGGTGAATTACTAGGCCACTTTTACTTGATTTTAATGAATAAAAGTTTGGACCAATTTCGAATTGTGACAAGGGGGCAAGTAGTGTTGAATTTGGCAGAAATCATCATGCCTTTATAGGAATTAAGCTTCCAATGCTATTTATTGTGAAAAAACCTCAAACTCTCTGTTTAGAAGGGTATTTTACAGTCTGTTGGATATGATCTCGTCGCAGAGGTTCACTTTCACTTCATCTAACAAAAGTTGATTTATATCCCTGCACAATAAATAAATATGATTTCATCATTTTCTGTGTTAGAAATTGTTTATCTTCACATTTCTTGCCTTCCGGCAATCTTCTAGAAGTCTTTTCTGTACAGTTGAGGTACTCACTTTAACACCGTAATCCAATAAATCCCTTCGAAGGTCTGTGCTTGTATTTCTTGGATTTAGTTTACTATTTTGTATTAGAATTATATCAGTTGTCTTGAAATGTTCTTAAAAATTCTTGAAACACTTGATTTTCCCACAGCATCTGCAATATCTAAATCTCTCGTAGTCATAGACCTCTGTTCACTAAGATGGATTACTTTAGCACGCTTTGTATCAGTAATATCATCTTTGAACAATCAAAAGTGACAAGTATTACACGGAACACCACATTATAACTACCAGCTGCTATGCATAAAGACTCACAAGTGAACAACTGACTAAAAACCAGTCAAACGAGTACATTATGGTCATGGTCGATTCGTCACATTATCTCAAGGCATATATAACCAGTTTAAAGGGTTCGGGACATCACCGGTAATCATATACTAACTCAGACCAGAAACACATGTTTATTTCAATTAATTCGAACAATATAGTATGTCTCATTAGAGAATGCTCCTTAAAAGCAACTTCTCGTAACTTAGTTACGAGAATAATACGAGGTGCATAGCAAAATTGATGCCCTAGAAATTTCGTGTGGACGTATACGTTCCATGAACAATGTTGATGGAATGTCCATGTCCAGAAAAACTATCAAGGATTGCTAGTGATAGAAACATTGTAACGTTAGATCTTGTTAGTCGCTCATAGTAAAATAATAAAAGATTTGAAATAAAATATTTTTTAGATTTTTTAACGGAAAATTTGTAACGTTATAAGTAAGTAGACAATGCAGTGTCAGTTTAGAGAAAGTATAAAAGTTGCTTTCTGTCATTTTGTATGCGACATTATTTATGTCTTAAGAGGCAATATTGATGGAAATATACTAATGACAATACTGAGTAGGTGACTATTTGGCAAATTTTTGGACATGTCTCGGGAAATTTATAAACAAATACCCTATTTTTTATACAACAAAACAAATACTAAGGTCGAATTCGACATTTTAGTCGAATTTTTTATTTATTTTTGGAAATAAAATTGTTTCCTCGATCGATCGTCCATCTCTATGGTGTGAAGATGTGTGAATATTTGGTCCATTTCCAGCTGTCTTAGAATTTTTTATTCAAGATTTGCTTAAAACTGCTTGTACATAAATCAAAGAGGTGTCTCAGATGTATCATTTGGCGTTTGAACTATTATAGGTTTAAATTTTTTGTCAATAATATGACTGTCTTAAACTACATAAGACTTAATTGTCAAAAAAATAGTCTAGCCGATTTTTTAAAAGTGTAGTAGCTCAAGCAGCTACTGCAGGACCTAATGTTTTTGGTCTGTTTATCTGAGATACCTCTCTATTGTATTAAATATCTGCACATTATGTAAAACAACATAATTTTGTATAAACTAAGACGAGTTTTGTTCCTAAGACTAAGTATGTACTTTTACTGATAGTTAAACAAGTCCAAGGTAGGTTAAATCAATGTAAATGACAATCTTTTTTGTTGTTTTACTTTTTTATCGTAATTCAATAAAACCACAAACAAATGTCACGTAATTTTTTTTGCAAAAGAAAAAGGATTGTTTAATAAGAAGTTTCGAGTCTGATGGTCACACTAACTTTAAATATTTAATAAAGACAAGAATTTTAATAATACTCTCTGTAGTATCCAGTTTCATCTGTAATATACATACCGTTTAGTTAGACAAAAATAGATAACTAAACTCTTTTTAAAGACCTTTGTATTTATATTCTCAATTGAATTTCTTTTTGACCCGTTCTAGTAATTTTTTGTTTCTATGTCCACTATATTTGTATTATTTTATGAATTGTTGGCTTGAATGGATCTATTCCATTGAAACTTTTTCTGCAACCTTCTTATCTGCTTTCATGCCGAAAATAACTTTTGTAAAACATATGCTCTAAAATTGTTTCTGCAAATTGAACATTTTTTTATGGGAAAGAGGTGGTAAAGCTAAAGACCGTATCAGGCCGTGTCTCGTTAATGATGATCAGGCGTTTGTTGGATTCTGGGCGCAAGGGTCCATTCGAAGGCTGTACCCCCAGAGGAGTAGTGCTCACAGATATACCCATACCTCCCTGTATATTAACAAAGTCCACCCCCTCGTCTGGACTATTCAAGGGGTAGATCTTCCACAGACCGGTGCATTACACAAATAGCCTGTCTTCTCTATCTCTTTCTCTCTCTCTCTGTTTCACTATCTTGCCCTTATCTTTGCTGCAGATTCCTCTCTAATATTCTCTTTTCTTGTCCTCGTCGAATATTCTGCAGTCGAATACACAGTGCTCAGTCATTTCAGCCACTCCCCAGTACGTGCAGTTTCCATCCGCAACCTTTTCTTATCTTTTCCATGTAGACCCTAAAGGAACTGTGCCCTGTGGAACTGATTGAAAAAGTAATTAGTGTCTCTGACACCTCACTTCATATATTCTGTGATATTTGAAAATTTCCAGCTTGTAATCAAACCACCTAGTAAACAAAGCTACCATCCATCTGTTCCTACATATGGATATATGTAGGAACATGCTATGGCGTACCTATGATCCTGCTACGCGTCTACCGCAGATTTTCCTTTCCTCAACCCATACTCTCGGTCAAATATGCCATCTCTATTTATTATTTCCTTCTCCAGTCTTGTCTTCACAAGAATCTCAAAGATCTTGCCTAAAGTATTTACCAAGCATATAGGCCTGTAAATTTATTGAACAAGCTGTTACCACCAGCCCAGCAAACTGTACATATATTTCACATCTCACGAACTTCCAATTGTATTCGTCTTCAGTGGCATTTTTTAAATACAAAAACATATTGACAACTTTGACAAGTGACTCTAATTTGACAGCTGATAGTTGACATTATTTTTACAAACACATTGTTTTGACTATGATAGCTGTTATGTTCTGGTCACGTACATGCATGCAGTGTAACATTTTTAAAAGTTTATTTAATTTTTTAATGATCAAATATTTAACAGTAGTGGATAATTTGTATAATTTTCTATATTACATCTTTTACCATGAAAATGTTATTTAATTATAGGTTTTTTTAACCAAAAACGAAAATGTCGAGTTTTTATACTTGTTTTCTCGATGAGAAAACTGTAATTTCGGGGTGGAATCCTTTAGGAAATGTTCAAAAATAGCATTAAGGCGGAATTTTTTACCTAAGAATTTGTATGTTGTAATTTCGTTTGAGATTGATTCAAATTCAGTGCAGTCTTAGTACACTCTGTGAAAATATAAATAATCTTAGGCGTTACAGATGACAAAATTTATTACTTGACTGTGCAAGTTCCTATAATTCGCGTTTTCAAATACTTTTTCATGATAGACATGCTTCATTTGAATCAAACTTAATCGACTGTTTTTGATTATTCGATTAATTGACAACTGTGAATCAAATTTTCCAATCAATTAGCGAATATTCGATAAATAATCAAATTATTTATTGTAGAATTGTATGGCTTAGGTTTTATAATCAATAACCGACTGCGACTGGAATGTGAAGGTTAGTTGGCGAAAAGAAAGCAATAGGTAGCAATGTTTCTTTAAGCACACTGAATAATAATCTGGTCACTAGCAAAATCTTGGTGAAAGTCCATTTTCTAATTAGATTGTGTTAATTTTTGATTGTTTAGCTAGTATGGTTAATTAATAATAAATTATGGAAATTCATGGATTCATATTCATGGAAAATGATTATTTCACTGGGTTGTGGTATTATCTTCAAGTCATCTTGTATCTCAAGTCAACTTCAATTTACGATGGAGCAAAACCATTTTTTTGGTTTTTTTTATACAACTGTCGAAATAGCATTCAGCATCACTTGTGTTGTATGACCGCGTTTAAATTCAGCATATCACCTCTTTAATATTATGAGGATTCTGAGTAATGTTTATTAGGAATTTATTTTGCTCAAATTGTATTTTTATCAGTAAACAGTACTTTACTTTTAAATACAGTAACTTGTAAACCTGATTGAGCTCAAAATTTTGATGAATAACTTTTGAAGGTTGTATGTCATATGTCATTTTTTTGCGTCCCATTATTAACTGACCTTAATTTTGCTAATGATCAAATTACTGATATGCCAGAAGAAACAATCGACTGAAATTTTGATTATGATGTAATTTAGTTAGGAGATTTTCATATCAAACATTTTTAATTGTTTATAATATTGAAACAACCGAAAGAATACATTTAGGTTTTACATTTTTAGTTTAAATATTTTTCTAAAAGATTGTTGTATTTAATAAAGGATGCGTGATTCCTAAAACGGTTTTTTCTAATCTGTATATAGTTGTAGAAGGAGAATGTCGAAATAGTCGAATCGACACAGTATAGTTGCTGTAAAACTTTTTAATGATGTTGAATTCGTAGCAGATGCTCCATTAGATATAAAATTCTAACACTGGTAAATATTTCAGTCATACCATGATGCAGTGAAATGGCGATGCATAACTTACAAGGCTTCTTTTAATATGTTGAAAGAAATTGTATCGTAAGTTTCTTTGCAGCATCCAGTCTTTATATATCTTTCTAGTGGAGCCATAGCATACAGTTCACCAATGCCAATATGACCAATAGTTGCTACACTACAACACTAAAGCGCAGATAAGGTAGTAATAGCGGCCGTTTTTCTTGATAAATTATCTCATTCAGCGCTAGTGTGACAATGCTGCATCAAAAACTTATCAGATAAGAACATTGTCCTGTTCCCATATATCCAATGAATAATATGGATGAAAAGTATGAACAGTGTTATTTTACAAGTGGCGAACAACAAAATGTGCCTTGTCAGGATGCAGTAAGCTTGTTTTAATAGGTTTCACTAAATCTATACGGGCAATGGCAGGAACGATAAGGAAAACAATGACACATTTTGGATGTAGTGTTTTAATAAAGATGAAAACACTTTATCCTACAATTTAATCTCACAAATGATCAATAAAGTCAGTCAACTTTAATCCTGCAATAAAATGATTAGGTGAATGTGAAGTATACTAAGTTTTCACATCGCATTGAATCGGGTTTATAGAATGGACGTTTAAAACATAACCTAATATACTTAAGTGTTATAACAAACATCTGAAATAACAAATGTTTTGTGGGTCTATGTCGATCTAGTAAAGTTCACAATATGTATATATCTTTTGTTTTTATTTTATGGTATCTATTTGACTATAAAAAAATACTAACAGGATAAGACTTTAAGGCTCTGCAAAGGAACCAAATGATAAGCAGTTTCAAATAATTATACCGAAAAGATTAATTATTAAATGGATAAATGAAAAATAATGAGTTCCTTCAAACGTCTTTTCCTTTTTTTCTAATTATCTATTGAAATATCTCCGAAAAGGTCTTGGTGGTACCATTCACCTTCATTATCTTTGTTTTCATATCGGAATAACTTAAATATTGATCTCAAGATGAGAAAAAAGGATATGCGTTTTGATTTTTGGCAGCAGTTATACGTGGGTGGTCCGAAAAGTACTTACCCCACAAAAGAAAACAACACATTTTGAAAAAGTGACGATTTTTTTTCTTTACATAATTTCCTTTTACCTCGATACACTTACCCAGTGATGCTCCAATTTCTTTAACCGCCTGAAAAATACTTTTTCTGCAGGTGTGCAAAGTAGGCCTCCGTGACGACGGACTCAACGGATGGTATTCGACTCAAATTTCTACCCAGATAGTGATTTTTTAAATTTGGAAACTGAAAGAAGTCGCATGGGGCCAAATCTGGAGACTATGGTGGATAGGGCAGCAGGTTGTAGCCCAATTCGACCAATGCGTTGTCATGGTGCAAGAGCACATTTTTTTCTCGCCAAATGTGGCCTTTTTTTGCAATTCGGGCCAATAATTCGACATAGTAGAGCCTTGCGACTGTTGTGCCCTCCAGTTAGTCGATGTAGATTAGTAGATGTAGAAATTGTGAACTCAAAAAAAAACGGTGGTATAATCTTTCCGATCTATAGGATAGTCTTTGTGTTCTTTGGAGTTCGTTCTCCGGGTGAAGTCCACTGTTTCGACTGTTTCTAGGACTCTGGTGTGTACCAATGGATCTGTTTTATCTGCGGTCACGATACGAGGCGGAAACTTCTTCGAATTGCACTTAAATAGCATCAACCACTGCTATAAAGTGATCTTACGGACCCACGCGGTTTTTTGATATGCCTAGTGACTCAGTTATGTCGCGCACCTTTAATCATCGGTCTGCCAATACGAGGTCATGAATTTTGTCACGTTATCCTCCGTAGTAGCCGTTGAAACTAGTTAAACCAATTTTTGACGGTCGCCATGGAAGAAAAGTCAACATACACAGCATGCAAGCATTCGCTGCCGTTTCTCTCTAATTGGTCACGCGATAATGCTGTTTTTCCATTTTACTAAAATCCGCCGACACGCTCATTCGGCCGAAACTTCATCTACGAGAGTGTATTACACGATAGCAAATTTCTGTTTCGGTAGCGGCGCCATCGGACGGTGAGGGTAAGTACTTTTCGGACCGCAGTCGTACAAACATCACAAATATCATTGCTTTGAAACCATATAAGAGGTTGAGCATTGAGTTTCAAAATTAAAACAAGTAACATGAAAAATGTCAGTCTTAAAGCCACTTTACAATGCATCCTGATTTATTTTTAAATCTATGATTAATTTTTCATGAGATGGAATCCACATTCGACATGTGGCAATTAAGTTCTGTGTATTTAGTTATTACTCGCGAAATTACAACATTGTGTTATTCGTAAACATATGTATGGACCTAGGATTCTTCTTTTAGTTCCATTTAAAGGTTTGAAGTTTAAGGCTTATGTGGTTTGTGTTTTATGCGTATTTTTCAAAATGAGTGAAAATACAGTCTATGAGGATTTGTTGTCACGCATTCAACCAAGGGCAGATATTGAATCAGATATTCAAGGGAGATGAGGCATTTATATTTGAGTATGATTCCGAGACCCTTAAAACAAAATAAGTAGTGGGTAGCAAACGGTACAAGGCAATGTTACTGCCAATCAGACAGTAACTGGACAGTTCTATAAAGGCGTCCTGAAGAATTCAACGACTACGTTAAGTACCCTTTTTTGAGGTGGAAGAGTTTTTGGCAAAAAAAAGCATTCAAGCATTCTCAAACCCACCCCATATCTCCGATATCGCTTCGATATCGAATTTGCATAGGTCACAGCCAACCTTCATTAGTGGAGTCGGCACTAGAAGAAGAAAAAGATACATCTCTAGGAACTCATGGCGGCGTAGAACAGGTTCGGGAATCTGTGAACGGGTTAACTGTGTTGTTCTGAAGCTATTTTCTTGTGGCATTGTAAATTAATTACTATTAAACTGGGAATAAGCCACAAATTAAAGATAAAAATACGTTTATTGACGTTTCAATTTCCACTTCGGAAATCGTTCTCAAAATACAAACAGTAAATTCACTGTTTGTATTTTGAGAACGATTTCCGAAGTGGAAATTGAAACGTCAATAAACGTATTTTTATCTTTAATTGTGGCTTATTCCCAGTTTAATAGGGTTAACTGTGGTTATTATAATATATGAACTTAATTGAGGAACAAGAAACGACGGTGCTTCAAATTTAATGAAATATCTAGTAAGTGTTCTTAGAACATGTTTTATTTCCTGCAATTGAATACGAATTTGGTGCAAACTATTAAAATTCAGGATTATCCAGTATTACATTGCATGCCATTGTCGCTGTATATAAAGTGGTTTTAGCTTCTTACCAAAGCAAGAATATATATGTTTTGTAAAAACTAATTATGAAAGAAACAATAATTGGCAACCAACGCGCATTCAGTGATATGTTACTTCCTTTAAAGCCATTGTACGTTATCAATAACATTTTACTTCGTCACAGTACAACTGCTAAATATTCCGTAAAACTAATTTCTGAATTCAGAGTTGTCACGTGTAGTTTTATTGATTTAAAAATTTACTTGTAGTATAAAAGAATCTAAAGCACTGTGAATAAGAAATTGTTTATTGTATTCCATAAAAAAACATCAAAAAGAACTGAACAATAAAAGGACGAACAACTCGTTAAGAAAACTTTGGAGTAACGATATTAAATATACATCAACTAAAGCTTTAATAGCGTCTTCGTCAATAAGTTTTAGAAGAGATTTTGTCTCCCTATGGTGTATTTTTTAGTAAAAATTAAGTTGTTTCAATTATCTTTGGAAATGTTCTTTGATGTAGGTACTCTGACCAGTGAGTTAATTCTTCAACGATCGTTATCTGAATACCGCCCTTATCCTTAATCATTGTACAGTGTTTTTACTCCAGTTATCTATTTAATATTTATTTGTATATTAAACCTACCGTACCCTTTAATTTCTCGGTACTCTAGGAAGGTCTTTGTTTTACCTCGAATAAAATTTCTTTTTTGAAAACTGATTTTTGTCAATTTACGTTCCTCTATTACCGGTTTTAAAAACAAGTAACTTAAAAAATTAGGGAATTCATTCACTGTTCGGATCGTTCAATTGCAGAGCCTTCTTTTAATTTCCAATCTATTTTGATTTTTTTAACGAATCGCTAGAAACAGTTAGATTATATTAATGTACATTGTAAATAAAATGGTTACTATTGTACATATTAGAATGGAGATTATTTTTTAAAACAGTGATAAGAAAAGACTTCATGAGCTTGCTCCGTTTTCCGTTTAGAGGGGAATTGAGAGCTCGACAAGCGAATAGGGAAGTTATTAAATATCTGTTTGAATTTTTTCGTCTATTTTTTTCTGTATTTAAGAATGTTTACGTATTTTTACATAAATTAGATAGTAAGTTAATACCAGTAGGTTAGGTTTAGTGTAATACAGTTATATAATCATTTGAGTTGGTTTTCTTTTCCCAGTTTTTGATTAGTGCGGGTGTAAATCACTTATGCCACTGCACAAGATTACCAATAGTACACAAGAGAGTATTGTCAAGAGCTAATTGTTATCGTGTGTTAGACTCGCCTTTTAAAGTAATCTTCAGATGAACTGAATTGACTAAAGCAAACACAAGTACAGGGGCTGAAAATGGTCCAGGCGGAACCACGACAAACATTGAATCTTATTGATTAAAGTAACTTAGGTATTTAAGTATAAAGATAAAAAATTGGATATAACATTTTTTTGGCCACATCAACTGTGCTGGCAATACGAAAGCTACTGATGTTTCAAGGACAACAAGCGAGAAATTTAGAGAGCCATCGCTAATCAGATGAAATGATACGATAGAGAAATTCTTCTTCTTCAATGCCTTATCCGGTCCGGATGTTGGCAATCATCAAGGCTATCATGGTTTTGTTGACTGCTCTACGAAACAGCTCTGCGGAGGTCATCCCAAACCATAGAGAAATTACTAGATATTATTATAGATATTAACTTAGCTATCACAGCAGGAACAACCCAGAATAAAAAACGATTAAGACCAGCGGCTAAAATGTATAGAATAGAACAAATAGAAAGTACAGATGGACATAAATAGCTGTAACCTTCAAGGTCATTATATCAAGGAGGGAAGCGTAAACATCCATTTATTTAGCATTGGAAACCAATTTTAGTCGGTTTACAACGTTGCCAGATAACTTCGTAATTCGTGAAATAGTTATTTGTAGAGTTTTATTTCAAAAACTAAGAGGTGAAATAATTTTTTATTAAAATGAATAACGTAAGTGCTGTAAAAAATCGGATTCTGATTTGACAAGCTCGTGAAATCATATACTCTTAAAATTCACGCAACAGCAAGCAGAAGGAAATGCACTTCTTATTGAGTTATCCAAAGTACAAGAATGACGGCTGATTTGAAAGGTAAATTTATGATATATTTATATTATAAAAATATTTTTTGCAAACTTGGATTATATTTTTTTGGTTATAATTAAAATATAAAAATAGGTGTTATGTAAAAATATGAAATTGACTAAGAGAAAAAAGTTTATATAAAATTAAATGTTTATAGGTGTCAGTTTATCAAGCGTCAAAAAAATCGCTAAAGAGGGTCGTGAGGTTGAAAATGCAGAAACCTTTGGATTCTCCACGCCTAATAAACGACAGAAAAGTGCTCAAAAATACAGCTAGATGGATGTGATCAAGGTATCTTACGGAAACAGATATATAATTTCCATCCTAGGGATCAGTAAGTTCCCACAAATAAGAAAATTCATCAGAAATTTGTAAGCGAACTGAATTATTCAGGAAGTAGAGAAAGTATGGGAAGGGAATTGCATAAACTTGAGTTTCGCTGAAAATAAAACAGTTGACAATAGAAAAATGTTGATAGAAAAACATTAAATTAGACATTTGAGGCTACAATACCTGAGGAACATTAAGGAAGCTAGAGAAGCAAATAAATTTATAGTGTTTACTGACGAGACTT